TCATCACCCAGTGATCAGTCAATTGCAACTTTAAAACGAAACATTAGTTCTTTCAAGATTACAGACATTTTTTTGTTAGCAATATTAGTAGTGATTGTAAAGATTTATTATAAACAGTATGGTTTGAGAATCTTCCATACCAACGTCAAGGGAGTTCTAATGTACGAAGCTGAAACTTGGAGAACTACAACAACCACAATCAAGAAGGTACAAGTATTTATAAATAGCTGTCTACGCAAGATACTCAACATCCATTGGCCGGATACCATCAGCAATAGCCTTCTGTGGGAGAGAACAAACCAACTTCCAGCTGAAGAGGAAATTAGGAAAAGACGATGGAAATGGATAGGACATACATTACGTAAATCGTCAAACTGCATCACCAGGCAAGTGCTAACTTGGAATCGTGAAGTTTAACGGGAAAGTGGAAGGCCAAAGAACACATTACGTCGAGAAATAGAAGCAGATATGAAAAGGATCAATAGGAACTGGAAGGAGCTGGAAAGGATTGCCCATGACAGGGTTGGATGGAGAATGCTGGTGAGCGGCCTATGCTCCTTCACTTGGAGTAACAAGCGTAAGTAAGTAAGTAATGGTTTGAGAAGGAGGAATGGAATTTGTGAAATAAAAAAGGATTGGATTATTTTATGACTCAAGATGTAAAACAGGATAAAGAAAAACGCATCTGGATTATCACGACAGATTATAAGCCATGTTAAATAAAGACTTCAACCACCGTTCATGTTAGTTACGTGAATGACAACCGGATAGTCTATATCCAACAATATGTCTCGTTCCTCCCACAATCGGTGACTTGCAAAAGTGATGCCACATCTTGAGCTGGTTACGTCCAAATTTCTTCAAACTCATTCTTATATCATCCAACAAACTTTTATTGTTTTGTTACATTATTCAGTGTTCAAATATACAGACTAATGGATTAATCCATTGGTGAATTATACTAGGGCTAAAGTTTTGAAGGTTATTATGCTATCTCGTGATCTAGAATGTTAGATCCATATTGTTGGTAATAAGTAAGTAAAAGGAATTCTTGTGGATTTTCGAATAGAGCAAGCCAGTTTATTACTTTTTTTTTTAGAATTGTATATGCTAGTGGTGAATAATTATCCGGTTGATAGGAATTGTTTGAACAATAGAGCACCATCGTCTATCAATAATAATAATAATTTTATTAGAGTTCTACTAGTTATTATTGAAATCACTATAAATATTGAAACTTTGACCAATATTTTCTTCTTAAAAAGAATAATATAGTTTGGAGATGGCAGATTGTTAACATGGTGAACATTTAGTGACAGCTGACAGACTTGTTCGAAGACCGATTTCAGGCAAGGTTACTTACTCTCACCCTTTCTCTTTCTCCTGGTGATCAACTAGATCATGAAGACGTCAACATCTGGGGGGAAGCATGAGATACAATGGACAGCTAGGATGCAGCTGGACGATCTAAACTTCGCGGATGATCTGGCTCTTCTATCGCACACACAACAACAAATTTAGAGGAAGATGACCAGTGTAGAAACAACTTCAACAGTATGTATTGACCAACTTTATCAAGAGAACGCGATTAGTGTTATTGTGGTGTTTGAATGAACTGATGATTCCTTTGCACTTGTTGAATACTTGATTTCGACTTCTAAATACAGTACATTCGTTTGTGGTTATCTAGTACTTCTTGATCCGACTACGTTATTTCTGGGATCTTAGTTCGTACTATAATTCAAATACTTCTAATTATCATAGTAATGGAAACAATTATTATTATAACCGATTCTACCACAGATTATTTTACCGTATTTGTTTGTTTAACTGTACCAAAATGCATACATGTTATGTCCCGATGAGAATAGTGAGTGGTAATTTTCGGGATCCATTTGTGGATCAAATACTATACGTTTATTTTTATCGTATAATTGTTAATTAACTAAACCATTCACATTCATGTTCCTCTGATCATAAGCTTTATTTTAACTTATGAACTGTTATTCTAAAATTTTCCATTCTTGAATTATTCCCTGTCTATTAATAACTACCTCCCACATTCACGGCCACATTTGGCCAAATCTTGTACAAATGTTATTTTCTATTTTATGGTACGATGTGGTCTGTATAGTTGGTATATAAACCCAGTATGTTTGAAATACATGATTCATATCGCAGAGCCTCGGATTGGCGATCTGGACTCAACTGGCTGGGATAGGCTGAAAGCAGGACCGATCATAACTCTAGGCAGTCCTTGGTCCGATCGATAATTTACTACTCTCTAATCGGCGGTCACAAGTTATAACAATACATTCTTCCGTTGATTGTGACCTTGCACGAAGTCGGTTTTGCTCAGTAACTACACTTGTGACCTGGCACGATATCGGTATTGTTTCGATACCATGAGATCGCCAACAAATACATCTTGACTACAGCCAGAAACTGCCTTCTGATATTTGGCCCACGGGGGATCTTATCGGGTAACTGGAACGTAGTCTTCCTGTAGTGGTGATCATAGTTAAACGTGACTCGACGCCACACTACAAGCAGTAGGTATCAACATACGCAAACGGAAAATCAAGATTCTCCGATTTAACACAACATGCATCAATCAAATCGCACTTGATGGACAAGCTTTCGAGGATGTAAAAATCTTCACATATCTGGGCAGCATCATTGATGAATACGGCACATCTGATGCAGATATGAAGGCGTGGATCGACAAAGCAAGAACAGCATATCTACAATTGAACAACAAATGGAACTCAAAACAACTATCCACAAACCAACACCAATGTCAGAATTCTCAATACAAATGTCAAGACAGTTCTACTGCATGAGGTAGAAATTTGGAGAACTACCACAACCGTCATCCAGAAGATGCAAGTGTTTATTAACAGTTATCAAATCAAAATACTTCACATCCGTTGGTCAGACACTATCAGCAACAACCTACTATGGGAGGGAACATAGCAGATTTCAGTGGAGTAAAAATTCAGGAAGATGTGCTGGATGTGGATAGGACACAAATTGAGGAAAGCACCCAACTATGTCACAATTTAAGCCCTTACTTATAATCTCGAAGGCTAAAGAAGAAGAGAAAGACCAAAGAAGACATTATTTTGAGAAATGGAGAAAGGGATGAAAAGAATGAACAAAAATTGAATAGAACTGCGAAGGAAGGCCGAGTACAGAGTGAGTTGTAGAATGTTGGTCGGGAGCCTATGCTCCATTGTGAGTAACAGGCCTGTGTAAATCAAATAAGATCGGAGGTATGATATGAATTTTTCTTTACAAACGTAATTCATTTAAATAATGCCCCTTAATTAATTTGTATATTGTTTTTAATGGTGTTGAGGCTGAACTATTTAAGTATTTTACAGAACTCAATAGTAAAGTATATGGAGATCCTCAGACAAATTCATTCAGGTTTCAAACTGTCAAAAATAGAAGATATATTGATCCTGACATTTACTTTGGATCTAAAATAAACAACTTTGACTGTGATTATATACTACTGAACAGTGGGTAAATAAAGAGACTTTTTTGATTAAAATCATGAGTCAATTGAAGCGAGACCACTATGGAAAACCTGGAAGAACTAGACGGCCGTTTCGTCCTAGTATGAGACTCCTCAGCAGTGCGCATCCACGATCATGCATCCCGCGAGATTCAAACCAAGGACCTATATCTGAACTATCTCACGGATAGGGGGAATTAGGTTTATTCTATCCTTCCTAGAATAGTGGTATTAGGATGCGGTTTTCACAGACTGACAGAATTTAGTAAATCTATGCAATATACATCCCCTACTAAGCAAGTTTTAAATTATGGAATGGAATCATTAATAAGATTGTAGATGGGAATCATATAGGAATTCCATGCTAAGTCAAAATAACCATTCACTGCTCATCTAGCTGCTACACAGGAATAGGAAATGTACAAGTATCTATAAACAGTTGTCTACTCAAATTACTCAATATCCGTTGACCGGATACTATCAGCAACAGCCTACTGTGAGAGAGAATAAATCAGCTCCCAGATAAAGAGAAAATTAGGAAAAGACGTTGGAAGTGGATAGGACATACATTACGGAAATCACCGAACTGCATCATGAGGCAAGCACTAACTTGGAATCGTGAAGTTTAACAAGAAAGAGGAAGACCGAAGAACACAGTACGTTAAGAATTGCAAGCAGATATGAAAATGATGAATAGCATCTGGGAAGAGCTAGGAAAGACCACCTAGGACAGGGTTGGATGAATAGTGCTGGTGGGTGGCTTATGACAGTCCACGAGGGGTAATATGAGTAAATAAATAAGTAATAAATAAATGTCTTGGATAAAACCAGAGGATGACTCTTTAGAAAAATTTTCATGAACTGGTTATAACTCGATTGTTACAACGTGGGCAATATTCTTATAGTCCTGAAACACAAAAATGACTTACTGACCCTTATTAGACAAATCCATTAAGTACTTCATATTCCTTTACTGGATGTTTCATTGATGAGATGATTGGATAGAACAGTAGGAGGAATTTTCTGTCGAAACACAAACTTCATTTCTTGTGCTTTACATAGTAAAATTAGTCCATTATTTGATTCATGCAACTAAAGCTATCTAGCCAGAACAGACATTCAGAAGTAACTTAAATCTAGCCATGAATTGTTGAGTGGAAACGTCTATGTTCATGAAATTACAGTCCAAAGGTGACAGTTAATGAAATCATGACACATCGTCTATAACCTACAATGAGTACACTTAACGCCGTAAGATGAATCTCTTCTTTCTTTAGCTAACCATTACTGATTTTAAATAGTATAGTTAAACCATCATGTTCCACAACCTCGACTGATAATTATTACTGCAACTATTCTTGTTAACGAAGTTACACTTAATGTACAATGATACACATTCATCGATTCTTTGTTCTTTCACGTTCATTACATACGGATTATCTGATCAATGTAGATTTATAAAAGTAAATTCACTTACCTTTGCCCCTAATGATGAATAACATTCATCGAATAACATCCAAATTTTTGGTTTATACCTTTGCCATAAAGTTAATTTACCAGATTGATATGCATCATCCCAACCAAATTTTGAATATAATTCTTCGTCAGTTCTCCTTTCTGTATCTAAATCTAAATCATTTAATATTTGAAGTGTTTCTTGAGTTTCACGATGTGATGTATATGTCATCCAACAACATGGTTCAACCTATCAAATACATACCAATAACAAGATTATATAAATAAACTAGACAATATTATTAAAATATAATTGAAAATCTGGAAGCACTGGACTGTCGTTTCGTCCTATTGTAAGACTCCTCAGCAGTGCGCACCCGCGATGCCGCTTCGTGAGACTCAAACCTAGGGGCTATCAGTCTCGCTCGCGAGCCGTTAACTTCTAGACCACTGAGCCGTCATACAATGGTGTTAATGTCTAACTTCAACCAATCCACGAAATCGCATCACTGTCCACCATTGGCTCTAATAAGTTACTATCTCTAACTTTAATCGACTCATGAATTCAACTATTGAATAAATACAATTTTCAAAAAAAACCCTTTCTGATTTTAACTAATCCTTAGCAGTAACCAGACCTTATCAGTTGGGTATATTATGTCATCATTAAGCTAACAAATGTAACCTTTAACCAAAAAATTTAGTAGATGTAAGTAAATGTCAGGACCTTAAAACCTAACTATTCAATTTCATTGACAGTACTCATCAAGACCGATTACTTAATCTCATAAAATGAACATTATTCCTTGAGTGAAACAAACTCATCTCGTTCCGAGCACATATCAGAAATAATATTGAAATAAAAAGAACTGGTAATGTGATGTCATTCATTCTTCTGTGAATATTTATTCTGAATGAAGAAGTTAATAAGTTCGTTTTGATCACCCTAGTAACAAAATTCACTGATGTTGGTTATATATACATATCTATATCCTTGAAGTTATTTAAGACATTAAGTACTCACTATATACCTAAGTTTTTGGTTTCTATGTTGTAAATACAACAAATTGTTCATTTATATTACTGATAAGGATCAGTATAACACAAAGCTAAGTAAATCAAAGCTCATTCCATCATAATATTAACTAAATATCAGTTAGCAACCAAATATGGAGAACTATCACAACCATCGTCAAGCATGTACAAGTATCTATAAACAGTTGTCTACTCAAATTACTCAATATCCGTTGACCGGATACTATCAGCAACAGCCTACTGTGAGAGAGAATAAATCAGCTCCCAGATAAAGAGAAAATTAGGAAAAGACGTTGGAAGTGGATAGGACATACATTAAGAAAATCATCAAAGTACATCATGAGGCAAGTGCTAACTTGTAATCCTGAAGGGAAAAGGAAAAGAGGAAGAACGAAGAACACACTACGTCGGGAAATACGAGCAGATATGAAAATAATGAATAGCAACTGGAAAGAACTGCTTAGGACAAGGTTGGATGGAGACTACTGATTGTCGACCTATGCTCCATGACGAGGGGTAACAGGCGTAAGTAAGTAAGTAAGCAATTACTTAGCATTAATCTTATTTTCATACAGACATATAAATTAAAACAGTTCAATATAAATGGTAATTTAATGGTAGCTTTATTCTTTATTGATGTATATACTATTGGGATTAATTATGGTAGTTAAATATAAATATGTCAATTATTGGTGAATAGAAGATTTTAGATAAGTGAACAGTTATAGAAGAATCTATTGTCCTGTCATTTATTTCACATAATGTTCATTATTACGTCATAGTGATTATGAATCGAATTGTATTTTAGATAAGTATTTTAAGTAGTATAATGTATTAAATGATTTCAGAGAAAACATTAGTATTTTCATTCTATTACAAATTCATTAGTATCTAATTGAATTAGAAGTATATAGTTGTTAATGCTTCATTACGTCGAGAAATAGAGACAGACATGAGAAAAATGAACAAAAATTGGATAGAATCAGATAGGAAGGCCCAGGATAGAGTGGGTTGGGGAATGCTGGTCTGTAGCCTATGCTCCATTGTTGGTAACAGGCGTAAGTAAGTAAGTAAAGCAAGTAAGTAGTGAGTTGTTAATGTTAGTTTAAAAAAAGGATGAAAGCAGTTTCATAATTAAATGAACTAATCAGAGAGGAGTTTTTTTGGATATTATAGTAATTTAATAGTTAAATTCATGAGTCATTTGAAGTTAGACATTGACAACGTTGGATGCCGGCTGGCTCACTAGTCTATTGGTTGAGATCTCACGCGTGAAACTGATAAGTCCTTGATTCGAATCTTGCGGTTCGCGACCGTGGATAAGCACTGCTGAGGAATCCCATAATAGGACGAAATGGACGTCCAATGCTTCAAGTTGATCTGAAAAATGTGATGTATTTGTGCTATACATTACGAACCATCTGGTCACACATATGCCTGTTACGGCATTATTATATGAAAAGTAATGAAGGTCAATTAAATGAAAGTTCAAGTCAAAAAAGTAACAAACGGGAGAGAAACAATTTTACATTGTATAGAAAGAATAACAAATGATCGTGTTATCCTAGGCGATAGAATGACTTAACGATTTAGAACAACATATATAAGTGAACAATATTGTTTTCGATTAGATCCTCATTAAAAGATTACCAGGGTAAATTCAAGGTTATGACAAATTGTTTTTGTACACATTAGGGGGACGGGGTTAAATCTGAAAACTCGTTCTTGACAATTTCTACACAACGTTTTAAAAGATGTATTAATTGTAAATTTTGTGCCCCGTTTCAATTATATGTTTCGCTATTGATGAAAATGGTTTTCTACCTCCCACATTGATTGGATCATTTGACACAGATTGATTTTGAAACCATCTAGGCACGTGTTCAATGACTCTTGATTGCATCGGAATGTATACAGAACATTTTTCAGATCAAATCCGTTTTCTCATTGTTCTATCTTAGCGATTGAAATGTAAGTAATTCTAAGGTTTCTTGCAGGAATCTTGTCTAGACTTCATCAGGTAGTCATCAAAACCAAAATTGTCAGTATAAATTGTGAAGATTTTTTAGTTTCACTAAAATCATGAGCCAATCTGAGTTAGACAACTATTGTAAAGCTACGGGAACTAGACTGTCGTTTCTCCTCTGTATAGGACTCCTCAGTAATGCGCATGCACGACGTCGGGAGTGAGAATCGAACTCAAAAGCTTCGGCCATTCTCGTGAAAGGTTAATCTCTAAACCATTGAACTGGGTTTGATTCCCACCTGCGAAAGCATAGATACACACTTCCAAGGAGTCTCATACAAGGAAGAAACAGTCATCTATTATCCACAGCATTGAAATGGTTGTCTAACTTGGATCGATTCGTGATCTCAACAAAGATTAAAATTGTCAAAGAATATATAGAGTGTATTAATCAAATCTACACTTCAAGCTTACCCAATCATATTCAAATGTTAATTTTAGTAAATAGGAAAATACAAGTCAGTAAGATGAGAATAATGTAAAGAGTTCCTTGTGAATAGGAACGGATTTGTGTTTGTGTGTGCGTATGTCAATAATATTTAAGATTTGGTGAATAGTTTCTACCAAACTGTTCGATCAGATGTAACCAACAAGAACACAAGTGGAACAAACGAATGTATTTAAACATGACATTGCAGAACATCTCACTGAAATCTGATGACCATACGGTAAATACTTCATTTGCAAAATATCAACCAATCGTCTCAAACTTAACTGTTTCTTTTGCAAATATCGATCCATCGTCTCAGATTTCATTGTTCCTGAATTTTCATATCAATTGTTTTCCGTTCCCGTTCTTTCCTTCTCTATCTTCCACTGAAATACATTCTATTCCTGACTATCTTTATATACTACTTGTATAGTTATAAGTAGCTCACAACACACATATAGTGAAGTTTCTCAATTATTTGAATGCTTGCACATAATTTGACCAGTCAATACGAGAACTAAGGGTCATAGAAATATTACTGTGTAGCATTCATAGTGAATCAACATTATTCCTTTCAAAGCAGTTCACACACATATTGGCTTAAAGGTCTTTAGTGAACAACTAAAATCAAAGACTATTTAAGCGAACATTTATTTTTATTAAATTCATCATTAGGTTCAACAGGTATTGCTACTTTAGGTAGATTATCTACCGGGCGAGAAAGGATGTTGATGCCAATAGATTTCTTGATTCCTTAATCTCACTCATCCTAGTACATGTTAGTAAACACTGAAGTAAGGCCTTTTGACTACAGTACTTCAATTAAATTAATAGTTCATTTTTAAAAAAAACATGAATAGAGATCGATCACTTGGAGTTTTACTCTCGAATTCTTGAGTATTTGTTCGGATCTCCAACTTTTCTCTCTCTGTTTTTATTATTTCAATAATAGTTTCATAACGAATATGGTGGAGAATGTGTGTAGATCACGTGGATGATTTTGGTGGGGTTTTGTTCTCTGAGCTGGATAGTTTGGTCATGGAGCTTTCATCATTCTTCTGAACGACATCATCAGCACAGAATTCAAACAGAACTGAAGTGTTCGAATTTCTCAACAGCACAAGCTGGGAGTCACATTGTGGAATGTGCTACTGAAGTCAACATACATAAGTAGTATGTATCATCAATCGAAAGTAAAATACCTAGCAGCAGAAGATTAAGAAGATCAAAGAAAAGAGAACGAGGACAAAGAATGATTGACGTGGAAACGAAAGAACAATGAAATCTGAGACGATTGATTGATACTTTGCAAACGAAGTAATTTACTGTATGGTTCTCAGATTTTACCAGGAAATTCTGTAATTTTGCATTCAAATACATACGATTATCCCCATTTGTGTTCTGGTTCAATACAATATGTGAACGAATTCGAATACTTCACTTCAAAGTGAATTTTATGCTAATGATGTTGTTTAGAAGAACAATGAAAGCTCCATGACGAAATCATTTAACACGAAGAACTAAACTCCACGAAGAGCCTATTAGTTTTATACATTGATCACAGCTTTTCATTAGATATTCATCATAAATTTACACTTTTTTAATAATAAACAAATGTTTACTTACATAAAAATAGTATCAGTTTAGGGGTTGTGGAGATTGTTAAGGTTTTTTATTGAGATCATGAGCCGATTGATGTTAGACAGTCATTGAAAACCCGGAAGCACTGGACGGCCGTTTCGTTCTATTGTGGGACTCC